CCCCCCCCCCCCCCCTCCCAATTGGCCGGATCTTAAGTGGAGGAGGCATGGGAAAGTGGAAGGGCCTTTTTCAAGAGGCGTGGCTCGAACTAAAACCCAAAGTGCCAGGACTGACATTGAAATGCATCGGGAAAGATCATAAATCGTCTCGGTTTTCCTCAAGGAGACGTTTAGAAAAATACTCCCTTCAAGGTTATGTTCTTCGGGTTTTAACGAGCCAAATTTTCCTTTTTTTTACAATTCTAAACAGAATTTTTCCAAAACTCTCGATTCTCATGCAGCTCTGATCGTTCCAGTCCGGTTAATTGGATTATTACCCCTAATTTTGTTTTTATTTGGAAAAATAAATTTTTCGAGGACATGATTTCCTGGTCCAATGACCTTTTCGATGTCTTCAAATTTTCGAAAGTTCTTCATCTATTTTCAACAACCTCTTACCGTAGTATTAAAACCTGGTACTAAAATTGGAGATAATTGGTACGACCGTGACGATAAATATCAAGATCTGTCAAAACATTTCAGACCCATTGTGTAGAGTCTCAGCGGGTGGGGAAAATCCTGGGGATCAGAAGGTATATCCGTACTTATCTCTGAATACCCGACAAGCCGCTGGAAATATGCTCTTGGAAAAGATTCAATGCATCTATTCAACAATGCTCAAGTGGAGTTTTCCATTCAAACTGTCAGAAAATTTTTCCGAGATGGTAGTACTTCTATGGGCCTCATGGATTCCTAATCTTCACCCTGCGAATAATAATCCCCCCCACTTTTACCTTCAATGGGGATTTTAATGGTGGCATGCTCTCCTGATGCTAGAGTCAATGTTAGAAGTGATCGATAGTCCGATATAACGAGATATTTACGGATGTCATTGTTAGGTGATCCGCTGGGATTCAAAATAACTCCCAGGAAAAATGAGGTCCATGTCTAAAAAACTTCCGTTAAAGAACTTCGTCAAAAAAACTTGGTTAAAAAAACTTGAAGAAAAACAAATTCGAACAACCTGAACTTCAAAAAACTTGAAAAAAACTTTTAAACTTTCAAGGTACAAAGAAAATTTCGAAAAAAAATTGAAAAAAAGTCCACATACATACATACATACATACATAGAACATACATACAGACACCTTCTAAAAATCGCATATTCGGACTTTTTGGACCATAAAACCATACCAATAATTGGCGAAAACACCAATAAACATATTAAGTTACTCTAAAAGTTTGAAACATACACGGAGAGAAATTTTTGATAAAAATTATCCTACCGTTCTATAAAAGTGTATTATGAGTCATCGTTTCTTCATTTCTATCCCGAAATTTAGTAAAAATTAATACATGATGATCAAATTTTATTCTACGTTAGAGAAATTTTATCCTGATAAAAATAAAAATTACTGTACCGGTAGGGTAAAATTTACCAACTGTTCTAGAATTTTCGTTGTTATCTACATAAAAATTATTGGACTGGAAGGGTAAAATTTATTATGCGTCAGGATAAAAGTTCTCTAACGTTGAATAAAATTTGATCATCATATATTAATTTTTATTAAATTTCGGGATAGAAATGAAGAAACGATGACTCATGATACACTTTTATAGAACGGTAGGATAATTATTATTAAAAATTTCTCTCTGTGTACGAATGTTTAGCCTTTTTCAGCAAAGTTTATTTTTTCATGTTCAAGAAAAATTCTATAATTTTTTTGGCTAATAGCAGAACACATGAAACTAACTTCTTTGATGTTAAAAAAAATTAATCGCAATAGTCTCGCCAGAAATAAATAAACAAATTTTTCCTTATACACGGGCTCTTACGGGATTTTCATGTGTTGAAATTTACAACTGACCTACTTTAAGACTCTAAAAATAGAAATAAAAATAAAAGGTAATGTGCAAAACTATGCTGAATCGAATGGCTAGTAAAAAATTTGGGATACCCGCGGAAAAAGGAAATATTTGAAAGATTCTATCCCACACGAAGAGAAATGTTTAGTAAAAATTACAAAACTGACAATTCGCTCACCGATTACGAAATCGACTCAGAAATTTTAAGTGACAGTATCGTAATTTTTCACAGGAGATTCAGATAAAAATTACGGAACGCTCTGGAAAAATTCCGTGACAGTTCCGTAAAATTTCCTACAACCACACTTCACTTCGGAATTACGGAAAAGATATGTCATTTTTATTGAATATTTCTCTCCGTGGAGATAAGCGCATGTTAGCGCATGCGTTTGGTGCATTTTGTCCACTCCATTTTTAGATAATAAACGTGGATTGGTGGATTGAAATTGTTATCAAGATAAAGGGAATGACTTCATCTCGTAGTTGCAAAAAATCAATTTGTTAAAAATATTTGCGACTTTGGATAAACATACTTAAATTTGGAAACTTAAATTTAAACGATTACGATTGTTTGATTCCTTTCCCAAAGAACCAAACAAAACGGATAACAACACTCCGAAATTTCAAACACAAACACAGATTTTACCTATATTCTTACAAACGACAACATAACCGAAATGTTTTATTGACGCAAGTTCAATTTGACAAAAGTTAAATTAACCAAAAGTTCACTTTCCCCAAATTGAATTTAACCAGGTTTTTGTAACGAAGTTTTTTTGACGAAGTTTTCTAGACGTGCTCCGGGAAAAATGATACTCTGGAAATAACTCCTGACGGATTTTGAACTCCTGTTACATTTTCAGATATAGTTGGCTGAAGATGAGTCTTATGAGATAGATTACATGCCGGGAATAGACTATCTCATCTTTCCAATGTGTCTGATGCCAGTTTCATTGAAAGAAAGACGACCAATCGGCCATTTCTAAATATGAAATGGCGTCCGCATTCACTCCACGGACATAAAAAACTTCTTGAAAAAATAAAGGAGATGCTTTATTTACCCCGAGTTATGAATGCACCAGAGCAAGTTGAAAGTTAAGGACTAAGAAAAAAATGACTGAAGAGAGTTGAGAAAAAAAATTATTAAATTAAGTTGAGAGTCGTAAATGGTCCCGGAGAGTGAGTCCATATCCAGGAGTGGTTGCGTTCGGTGGCCGTTAGCACGGGGGGGGTGAATCTCATTTGATTTAATTAGAATAAATTTAGTAGTACGGTTCAACGTTTCTAGCTCTATTGCAGTATATAAGCCTGGTAGCTGAATTCATCAAATTATG